CGAAAACATTGGTGAATGTCACAAGTTCTCCTAAATCACTCGGAACAAATCTGTGCGTACGAACGGTTCTTGCATGAGGCCCATTGTTCACAAACCAAATCGTAGTCTACGTTTTAGTGACCACATCAATCTCCTCATCCCAAAAGCACGTACCGTCTTTGGTCGCTCCTCATTTTAGTTCTCTGCTGCAGATGACTGGAACCATCTGCAACAAACCTTAAAACTGGACTCTTTCATTTCACTATCCTCATTTAAAGGTTTTGATACACTCAATRGTAAAAGATCACTGTACTTGCTATTAGTTTCCTTTTTTATTGTATTTTATTTTTGGTTTTCCTGTTTATAATGTTACTTTATGTCTAATTGTACTCTATGCTGTCTGTGTCGTGTCTTTGTTTTAACATTGTTCTGACATTTGGTGTTGTACTGCTGCCTATTGACCAGGTCGTCATTGTAAATGAGAATTGATTCTCAACTGACTTACCTGTTAAAATAAAGGTTATATACGTATAAGATAATTCACAGAAACTCAACCTCAGCCATTGTTGGCTGATGGATCTAAGAAACCATTTAACCCTGTTAGTGAGGTTTGGACCCAGGAATGCAGACAGACTTGAGGAGCTCAAAAATGAAAAAAAAACTTTATCTTAATAGACCAACACTCATCAGTTTTTATTTCTCATATCCAGCAAAACATGACGGAAACATCAAAAACAAACATCTGTGGTAAATGTTGAAAAGCAATGCAYAATTGTTTTAAAAGGGAATTTGTGTGAGTTTTCCAGCTAGTGGTTGGAAAAAGGCATCACTTCTCTATATGGACTTTGACAGATATATATTGAACCCCGAGTCTTATCTTTTATTTCTGGTCAGACTACTGGAACGGGAACAAAATGATGAAGTGAAGCTTTGCACAGTTCTGTGGAAATACAGCCAAAGAAGAAGTTAGCATCCATTATTCCATCAAACGTATAAACATTCAGGATAATCGAATAAAGTTTGTCGGAGTTGAAGGGTGGTGGTACCAGAGGATGTGCTGTACCAACTGGTTCTACCATAACCAGACATGAAAACTGAACATATTAAATGTGAAACAAACCATCATATTCTACTACAGTGATTAACCTTAATGGGAACTTGTAATGGTGGGTGTTGACCTTTAAATAAAACAAAAGCTGATGTGGCGTCAAAACTTTCAAAAACAGAAGATTGA